CCTCTTCTGACAGGCGGTAGAGGGCCACTGATGAACACCTCTGCATTTAGAGAGCTGACAGTTTCCAACAGACATTTAAAGTCTCTTTCAGCAATTCTGACTGTTGTTTCACAACATCGTTTGTTCCAATGTGCAGTGCCACATTCTTCACAGTCGGATGTTCAGCCCCAATATGCAGGATCTTCTCAGACAGACCATATCCTTGGGAAAACAGAGTACTTTGGTGTTGTTCTTACTACACAGACTTTTTACATCTCTTACAGCAGAGTCACCCACAATCAGAGTTTCAGGCCCAGTCGTTAGCTTTCCCTCTAGCCTTTTACTTTTGGAGTAGTTATTGGTCCTTACCCTGCTGTGTGAGGAGGACAGGTTATCCAGGTCATCAGAAAGAGATCTCCGGTTCTCGGTTCTGGATTGGCACACTCTGTGGTTTAGGAGAATTGTTTGTAGTTCTCCCTGTAGCAGCTGTCCACGGCTGTTTCCTAGTATGAACAGGGGTTGAAGAGGCGCTCTTCCTGGGTGATAACAATGCAGGCCAGCCGGTCGCATCACAGATTTCAGAGCGCTGGGCTCTGCCTGTTGTTCGTCCTCCCAAATCCCATGGAAATTATTTACTCTTAGGCTTTGCACCCAGAGAGTTCCAGGGAGGACTACCACTTGTAGATGTATTAACCAGTACACAGCCCCCTGTTCCTTGGACCTAGCTGCTAACTAGCTGTGAGTTAGCATGCCCTTTTCCGTTCTTTTGCACTGGTAAAGTGGTGTCATTCCAACCTAGTCCATTCACTTCCACGTTAACTTCCAGCCGCTGCATTTTCATTTCCAACACGGCCATCTTCTGTAGAAGTTTGTGGAAGTCATCTGTAGAGAACGGAGGCATTTTGCTGCTAACTAGCTAAATAGCATGCAGTACCAGGCTTTAGCTGTTGCTAGGCCACGCTACTGTAAGACTGAGGTCGTCGTAAAAATATTGAAATATGGCTGAAACCCTCCATCTATTTACGAAGAGTAACTGTTCCAGTGATAAGTTAATGACCAGGAGCCGCTGCTCGAAGTTATCAGAAAATAAAAATAGGAAAATCAGCATAAAAAAAGTAAGCAGAGGCAAGAGCAAGCAGAAAAGCCTCTGCACTGTAAGAAAGCAGGAAGTAGTCGATCTTTAAGGATCGGCTCTGATGTTTCTCATGGCTGATACCTGAAGCCAATCATTCTACAAATCAAATGAAATCATTGGGAAGCAGATCTTTACCTTGGATGCTGTTGTTTTTCACCAACTGTGCACAGTCTATCAGCACCTCGGAGGGAATATCGTGTATCGTATGACCCTAGAAAAGACAGAGCAATCAGCAGTGCATACGTGCGCTAAAGGCATCGGTGTCCATAGACAAAGTATTTGGCGGATAGCTAAACCTGTTGAGAATCACCATGACTAACTTACAATTCAGTGTTGCAGGTTAATTGTGTTGAATTTTTACCTGTGGCAGTCTCAGATAAACATGAGCCGAAGACAGTTTGTCCACATGAAACCTGGAGGTGGGAAAAAGAGAATCAACAACACATCAATAACTTTTAATATTCCTGTTGATATTTCTGTTAGTTGTGCTTTAATATGGTTTATAATGAGATATTAAATTACATTTTTTGCAGAACAGTTAAACAAGCACTTAAAATACACTGAACTCTCACCAGATGTCTTCAGGCCATCCGTACTTTATTAGATCCTCATCTGCAAAAACCATATCAGCAAGTTAGAGGTGATCTGGATCCTTTGTGACCCATTACAATAACTAGCTCAACAAAAACAGGCATAGCATAAGACAATGCTAGCAAGAAGGGGACCAAGTGTTTGGAAACTAGTGTGTGTCTGTGTGTGTGTGTGTGTGTGTGTGTGTGTGTGTGTGTGTGTGTGTGTGGGAGATTTAATAGCTTACTTATCATATTTACTTACTCTCATATTTGTCTTTTCCCATGTAGATTGTGTACTGAGGGTTCACCACTGAGAGAGAAATAACACACCGATAGTTACTGCATGAAATGTTGTTATATATGCTAGCACAAAACTCATAAAAGGCACAAACAAGAGTCACATTCAATAATAATTAAAGCTTTGTAAAGTGTTGGCTAACAGTCTACTAGCTAGCATCGCTGCTAGCTCTGCTGTGGTTTTACTCACCGGCACTTGTGAAGTAAAACACCATCTTATATAAATTAAAAACTTGCCACTTAAATATGAATAGTGAGCGTTTATATTTTGAAAGCTAAAACAGCTAATTATGGACACAAACAATCTGTTTTCCCGACTGATCGTGGCTGCTGTCACTTTTCGCGTGTAGAAGTTGACCCGGGAAGTTGTTAGTACTAGACAGGAAGTATCCAATTGGTTTTACAAAAATAAAAGCAGGACATTCTGTAAATGTGCCAATGTTGTTATTTTTAAGTTACTTATTGAACTTCTAAGTCATAAAAATTGCAAAAAAGCTACCTTTCACAAATTAAATCCAGCTCCTCTACTTCATCATAAAACCCTACTCAATTTTTAAACAGGTCTCTTTTACTTTGAAGGTAATGACCGGAAGTGTCTCCAGGTTTTTACTGTGGTAACTTCATTCATACTTCACTAACAAGACATAGTGTTTCTGTTTCCGGTTTATCTGGTTACGGTTTTTTTAAGAGTAGCGCGCTGTTCAAAACACAGAGAAGAAACGCGGGGAGAAGAAGCAGCAACGCAAACATTATACCGACATTTATTGCTTTCTCTATTGCGACATAAACGTTTTCGGTAAGGTATTTAATAGGTGTTTTATGTAGCGTGATCTTTGTTTAATACGTTGTTTGTTTCTCTTCTAAATGACGCATTAACGCAAAGTGATATAAGCTTGTTACCATCAAACTGTCTAAAGTTGAACGGTATCTATGTATAATCTCTAACTCACAAGGAAACAAACAGGTTAAACTTGGTATACGTCGTCGTGTTAGCTTGTTTGTATATACGCAGTCATTTTTGTAGAAGCTAATCATCCCGCCAATTATCCACTCATCTCCACTTTAACTAACATGTCACGCTAAGCTAACCTTAATGTGGAGCTTAATGCACATTTATGCACAAACACGATGAAATGCTGTTGTCACGTCGAATGCAAATCAGTAATCAAAAGCTATTAATAACCTCGTTGTAGTTTACCGGGTTGTCTGACCTATATGCACCCTATGCATGCACCACACACTGCTTTCCCCCCTTTAGTCAAGATAATATACACACAAGTCAGTGTACGATCAGGACATATCAGACATATATAAATATAAAGAAAATAGGGATTAAAACGAAAGTTAACATTTCAAGTAAAATATTTATCAATTACACATTTGGTTTTCCATGCTTTCTTATTTTCATAGGAAGTGAAAATGTAAAAAGTTGGGTTTAGGGTCAGTTAATTTCTTCTTGTGAATGTGACATTTTCCCGCTTACAGTGCAACTGAGAAGGTCACGGTTAACTTTTGCTTAAAGTGTGGCAATTTAATGTCAACACACAAAAATAACCCATAGACTTTTTCTATATGAACAGCTGCTAGTTTTGTGCATTGTTTACAGCAGCAAAGTGGATAATGCAACAACAGATGGCATCAGTATAAAGCAAGATATAAGTAGAAACAGATAAACAGGTTATTTACAGTTATCGCACATATTAAATACTTATATTGCATAGTTTGGTATTTTTAATGTGGCATCCTATTAACAGGCCGAGTAATCATTGAAGAGCTGGTATTAATCTTGTATCTAAAGTGAGTCGTGATATCACAAATGTGTTACAGGTTAAATGTGTTTTCCGCTTTTCTAGTTGTGTTGATAAAAAGAAAGCCGTTACATTTTGATGCTGAAAGTTGTGCTATTTTATTTGACTCTAGATCGGCTAATCTTACACTGGGTGTGTGTGTAGGTGAGGTTTGTGAAGATGAAGCCCATGACCACGAGGAAGAGGGAGCTCGCCTCCCTGGACTCTGACAGCAGGTGAACACACTGGGTTTAGGCAGTTTGCTATTTGGACCAACACTCTTGCATCATAACAACACTCAGCCCAAGTAACCGTAAACATTTATTAATGTACTGGCCTGGGGGTCCTTTTCTGCTCTATACATTTGTTTCACATATTTTAATTGTTTTTTGTCATTTTCCTTGTATAATCAACTACATGCTGCATTGATTTGAATCTAAAGAGAAACCTAGTGAAGGCTGTGTTGTATATGTGTATATCCTTGCTGTTTCTCTTCCATGACACTATTTCAAGTATACTACGTCATCGAGTGGCGACGAAGGACTGTTTAAATGCTCAGCATTCGGCGCCATTCGCTGACGTAGTATGCTTGAAATAGTGGCTCTGCAGCAGCTTTACTCGACATTGAGAAACGGCCCCAGACTGATCTTCTTTTTCCTCAACTCCAGTCACCCGGCCGAGACTGCTGTGAGGCCGGATGTGTCCCCGATGAAGAGGAGATCCACCAGGAAGACCCCTCAGTCTCCGACCAAGAACAGGCCAGTCAGGCATCTGCCAAAGGCCGACTGTCCTTCTCCACGGAAATCCCCACAAAAAGCACCAGGTAAGGGGAAAAGCATTGTTTAGTTAGTATCTCCTGAGAGCAGATGGGTCTGTATGAAGTCTTAAACAAGGCGTTATAATAGTATAATTAGTACCAGGGCTGCAACTTGTATATTTTCTGTATAAACTTAACACAAAAAGTAAGGAAATGTGTGGTTGGTAGATGATTTCTGTGTTGTGACAATGCTTTTTGGCAATAAATCTTATACCGTTGGAAAGCCTCTCTTCTTACCTTTTCTAATAGTGCCACATTTGTGTGGAACAAGCATTTGTGGGATGAGCAGCAGAGCTGAGTATGTGGGTTGCACCAATGAAAAAGTGACAATGCCAAACAGCAGCCAATCTCCGGTCTCGTTCGGCTGCCAGGAGATTTGTCACATTTTTCAATTTCCTTACATTTTGTGTTACGTTTTTATCTATATTTTCTATATTAATCGATGAATTGACTTTCTCTAAGACAGTCTAGAAAATAGAGGCAAGCAGGAGATCTGAATTTCTTCTCTTTTCACATATCTATCATCTTTTCTAGGATCTCCTGCCAAATCACCTCGTAAATCTCCATTCAAGCCTTCCATGATTCCGAGCTCCTTCTATGGCCAGAACCAGCACCTCTATCTCACTCCACTGGAGAGGAAGGCGATAAAAGACTTGCCTTCGCTTCATCTTCCTTCCTCTCCTTCCCAGGAGAAAAAGCAATCGCCGAAGAAGAGAATTGTTAAAGGAGGCGGCAAGCAGAAAAAAGTGGTGTTAGGATCTAGTAATGCTGGGATTTACCAAAAGGCGTTTACCAAAAGCTACGAGACTTCTCCAAGGAAGATCAAACTTCCCACACTCGGCAGCAGGTTTGTTTCCAAGTCAAAGTCCACTAACACCTGCTGCAGCTTTCTGACACCTTCTGCAGTTAGTTGTAGGGATGGGTATCGTTAAGGTTTTAACGGTACTACTACTTTTATCGATCCGGTCTTTTTTTCGGTTCTTTTGGAGAGAAAAAATAAGGTAAACAAATTGTGAATAAAATTAACATTGCTTTATTATTTAAATAAAATAAATAATATTTAACTTCAAAAGAAAAACAATGTTTTAACAAATCGTATTAAATAATCTGATGACAGAACTGTAAACAGAATAGCTGAAACTTTAACAAACTAAATAACTCAGTTACCTGTAATCATTAACCCATGTTTGTATCATTGAGTTAACTCCGTGTGTTGCTGCTAGCATACATAACACCTGACGTGGAAACGTTACTCGTGGATGGGGCTACAGAGCTACTAGAAAGACAGTGGAACCCGGTGCATTTCTCCGTCTGAATGTGGTGCACTTTTGCTAAATGTTTAGACAAAATGCTCGTGTTACCGCCCTTACATGCTAAACTCTTATTGCACTTTAGGTAACGAGCATTGTCCACATCGAGGCGGGTAAAGTTTAACCACACCTCGGAGCGCGTTCTCTCCGCCATCTTCTCCGTGTGTGTGTGTTTGTGTGTGTTGCTGCATGTAGCAGCTGCGTGTGTGTAAACTGCCCCGCCCCCTCGCACACAGACGGGGGAGAGAGATCTCTCGTCTGGATTGGAAAGATCGAAAATACTAAAAATAATCATAGACGCATTTTGTTTTGTTTTTTCGTATTAGAAACGGAGTTGGCGAAACTAAAACTGCAATAACATTATATTGCATATAGGGATGGGTACCGAGAACCGGTACTAAGTCAATACCGGTACCTGATTGGACGGTATCGGTATACCGTTAAGCCGCTGGACAAACGGTGCTGCTATCGGTATATCTGTTACGTCTACTTCCTTAGTTTAATTTTAAACCACTCTGGTTGGTTGGGAACCCTCATCCTGTGTGATGTATCCGGTTTGAGACCTCTCTGATTGGCCACTCCTCATCTCTCTCAACAGCGCTCTTATTATTGTTGTGAGACTCCCGCAGGCATGGCGGACAGAGCGAAGCAATCCAAGGTCTGGGTGCACTTTTAAAAAATGTAGTGGCTATAGTGCAAGGTGCAATCTATGTACTCAATTAGTTGCTTGTAAAGGGGGTGACACAAGCAACTTAATGAAGCATTTGCAAACGAGACACTCATTGAATCTTAAACGGTGCTAGCGATACTGCTAGTGCTAATAGTGCTAATAGTGCTTCAGCCGCGCCGTTTGTAAATGTGACCTTAGCGAAGGCTCGCAGGCAGGTTAGCTGCAGCGCACGGGTAATATGTTTTGTTTACCTGGGTGCAGTCTTGCAGGCACATCGCCTTGTCTTTTTTTAGTTTATTAACACCAAATGATTGAAAAGTATCGATAAGAGTATAG